TATATATATATATATATATATATATATATATATATATATATATATATATATATATATATATATATATATATATATATATATATATATATATATATATATATATATATGAGCATTTGGCCACATAAACAACAATTCGAACACTGAAGATGGTATAGGAACACCGAAAAAAGCTTTTTTGTTCTATCATGCTTAAAATCAATAAAAACGTTGGATTTGAACTCAAGAACCTTGACAATGGTTTACGATCTACCGTAGGAAAAACCAAAAAATGAAACAGGAAGCTAACTAACACGAAACATACAGTGATTTTTATCAAAAATTGTTTTTTTAACAGTCTTAATCCAATATATATATAAATATACATTGTAATTTGTTATTTATGAAGCGCTATTCATAATCACTTCTCATCAGCGCTTCTCATATAGAAATATCCTAGAATTAATATATTAAAGGCTTTTTAGCAACGTTAATATACAAATATATAATATTAAAAAACTGATAACGTTAAATGGGGTATAATATTCAATCAAATAATCAAACACACACACACACACACACACACACACACACACACACACACACACACACACACACACACACACATATATATATATATATATATATATATATATGTATATGTATAAAATGCAACACAGAACTGAAAAGAAGTGCTAATCTACTTCTTTAGTGAGCAATGGTTACAAAACGTTATCCATTGAAAGCACCATTCAACAAAGACTACAACAAGATAGCAATATATTTAAAAATAACGATGACAACGACATAATCCTATATTCCAGAAATCATGTCAACGGCACATAAAATTGACCAAGTCCTCCTCAAACAAAGCATAAAAGAAACGTTACACTATCAGTGATACTAATAAAATAAAACTCAGGATATATTAGTACTACAATAATTGTATTAAAGAACAACTGCACTTCTAAAGACGATTCTACTTTGAAGCGTAAACGTGTTATATAAGAATTTAAATGTCCTATTGAGGATTGTGCGCGTCAACAACAGTCGTATTGTTACAGACGTTAAGCCGAGATAAGAACTAGTAATTAGAAATTGCGTGAAGCGCTTGCAAAGTAATAAGAAGGCGTAAATAATTAAAACGGTTGGAAAAAAAAGTCACGTAACACGGCATCGGTAGCTATATAAAGAACGCCAAGAGAAACACGAGGGTCAGACGGAGAAGACAACAAGAAGAGACACACACAAGAGAGAGGGGAACAGGTAAGAAGAAGACGGAACAACAATTGACGTAGAATTCATAAATGTGATTTACGTAGTTATTTGGATTAATTTATAGCTTCTATTACTGATGGTTTTAAATAAACGTTCAACTTAGTTTGCGTTTAAAGTAGTTGTGTTCATTTATCGGAAATCTTGAACCTACGGATAAACGAACTCTTGACTATCGTTGGAAGCTACAACACAGTGTTGGAGATATAGCGAGTATTGAAGCTATAACATCTGTGTTGTTGGTCTGAAGGACCACATCAAATCTACCAAATCCTGTGTCGTGCTGGTTTAGATGATATAAAAGACGAATGCCGGCAACACAGTCTGCGGTGGTTTGGTCAAGTCAAACGAAGTGGAAATAGTGCCATAACTTCTCTTGCAGATGTTGAAGTACCTGACACACGTCCCAAAGGCCGCCCAAAGAAGTCCTGGTCGCAAACAATCGAGCAAGATGAAAGCTCTACATTTAAATGAAATGGATACAACTGATCGTCTAATTTGGCGCAAAAAATTGATGGCAAAGAAAACAATGTCCTACTTCGGGGAATTGGGTCCCTGGACGCTAAAGGAAGATTGATTGAATTACAGTTTTATTAAATTTTCATGATGAATGCAAGTTAATCATGAAAATTTAATAAAACTGTTAAAAGTACCATCACTAACTAGTGTCGGCTTGTCTATGAGGTTTATTTAATGAAACTGTTCAAAAATTTCCAGCAAACTAATGGCATGACAATTTTTTAATTTCTCGACATGTATGTTGAAAACGCTAGTCAACAAAATATTTGTACTTAGAACTGTAATGATCTTCAGAACATGCAAAAAATCATAAAAAAACAAGGCATTCACATGAGCAGAGCCTAGTCGGTACACAGCCAATAAAAAAAATCTTTGTTATTTATAAACTGTTCAAGAGCAACAGCCTCAACCGAGGCTGTTTTCATTTTTATAAGCATTCTTCATTTATCGAATTTTAAATATTTATATTTTCTAATTTTATTAACATTGGTCTGATAGTACTATCATCTTTTTTACCGAGTCTAGTTATTTTAAGCACGTTGTAGGGGATTATATATGTATTTAAACATTTAACATTTTAATTAGTTTTATTATTAGTATTAATATCTATGTTTTAATTTAATTTATTATTACTACTACTTCTTTGTTTTACTTTTCCTCTTCCCTTTTACGTTAGTAGGAGATCGTTACGTTTGTTTGGTTAATAATATAAAGTTATTTCTATTCGTCTTAAATTGTCAGATTTATAATCCGACAACAAAAGCGAAATAATATTAAATCGAACATTCCTCGACAATTGGTTAACCCCGACGTGATTTGAACAAAGAAATTCCAACGTGATTTGAACGAAGAAAATAAATCCGACGCAAAAAAATACGAAGATCCACGTGGTTAGATAAAAACGAAAACAAAATGTTTCAACCAAATGATGACCCGATCGCCAAATTACCTCTTTTCATAAAAACGTCGTCAACAGGTTGGTTCGAGAATTCCGAAATGCAATTTCAATTGCGAAACGTTATATGTAAAACAACAAAATTTTATCACGTAATAATTTCTCTGCCGTTGGATGTAGTATCAAATTTGTCATTAAACATGCAAAGAGGAACAGATTACGGCGCTCTAAAAGCAGAGTTATTATCAACGTATTTAGAGGGGGGGGGGGGTTTACAGGTTCT